TTTCTTTTCCTCTGTTAGAGTTATTTTTTAATAGTTTGCTCAGGTAATCATACTGTCTTTGATTCCCTATTTCGCTTTCCTAAAAATCTTTATTTTGGCATAATCCCATTCTCATCAAATTTTAAAATGTAGTTCAACACAAAAATTGGTATGTTGGGCTGGGGTTGTAACTCAGTGGTAAAGCACTTGCCTAGCATGCGTGAAGCCCTGGGTTCAATCCTCAGCACCACATTAATAAATAAAAATAAAGATATTGTGTCCGTCTAAAAAAATTTTTTAATTGATATTTTAATGTTCTTAGAGGTGTTATACAATACCTGGAAACACTGTCCTTGCACTGGTGAGTGAATAAGCACACTATAGTATATCCAGACTATGGTAAACTCTTCTAGAACTACTTATGCATGTGAGAACTTGGATGACACATAAACACATTTTTTTCTGTGTGAGAGAGGCCAGGCTCAATCTATGTATTATAGGATCCCATTTGCATTACATTCTAGAAATGCCAAAGCCTTTCTGTGTGTTTGGGACACAGAATACATCATTGGTTTCCAGGAACTCAGTAGGGGAAAGACTGAGTATATAAGATCATGAGAGAACTTTGGGGGATGATGGAAATGTTCTGCATTTTGAGTGTAATGGTGGCTACATGACTGGATATTTGTCAAGATTCAAGGACTACATAGCAAAAAGTGTGAATGTTATTATATGTAAATGATATCTTAATGTAAAAACTATTAATGTTCAGTAGGTAACTGAAAAAAGATAATTAAATATTGCACATTGGTTTTTTTTCTTTGTTATAGATGTTGTTCTTAGGAGAAAGAAATCTTGGTTACTGGAGATGTTATAAAGATAATGACATCTACACAAGATTACCAAAAGTGGGTGTTTTTGATTAATAGGAATTAAGATAGGATTTGCCAATAACTTTAGTTAGCTATGACTCATGTTTGGGAGTAAGTCACTTTTGAGAGATGTTTGGTAGGCAGTCTTACCAAACATCTCTTAAAAGTGGATAAGTCCTACCCTTAGGTTCCATGTTTTATACATGGCCAAATTTTTGAGAACTTTTTAATTAATGGAATTTATTGCCTTTTTTAATATTTATTTTTTAGTTGTAGTTGGACATAATACCTTTATTTATTTATATATGGTGCTGAGGATCGAACCCAGGGACCCGCACGTGCTAGGCGAGTGCTCTACCACTGAGCCATAATCCCAGCCCCTGCCTTTTTCTTTTTTTCTTTTCTTTTTTTTTTTTGGGGGGGGGCACCTTGAGAGAAGGTGACACATAAGAAAAACTATTCTTTAGTGATACAAAATAAAATATGTGTAGGATAGATCCTTGCATCTGATGATTTGAAGGCTTTTCTGTGTTTGAGTTTTCCAAAAATGATTTAATAGACCAGAGTAAGTGGTGGAGATGGATTTTCAGGTTTAGAATAGTGTTGCTTTACTACATACCAGTACTGTTTATTCATTTATGCAGAAATATTGAATGCTTAATATCACCTGGAATTTTGCCAAACCCTGAATATACCCGTCAATAAAAGATATAGGCTTTTAATATTATACAATAGGGTTTACATTCTAATGAAAAAGAAAGAAAAATGTGTGAAGAATAGAAATATACATTGGATTGCTATTAAGGAGAGTAGGGGGTCTTTCTTTAGATGATAGAATCAGAAAAGTTCTCTTTGTAGGAACTGACATATTATCTGTGATCTGAAGGGTAAGGAGGCAGGCCAGAGAAAGGATGTTACAGAACAATGGCACAACAACAACTAGGTTTCCTATCTATTCTTGTGATCCAAGAATAGATAGGAAACCTAGATGACTGGAATGTATTAGGTTAGAGGAGAAAATTATCAAGAAACAAGGTTAACAAGGGATATGTAGCTCATGACAGAGAAGCTAAATTTCATTTCAAATGCAATGAGGAAATTTTGGAGTAACATAATCTGATTAATTTTTCTTAAATTGTTTTTATTTTGAAGAAATCAACAAATTCTTTTTGTGATTAAACAGCATTTAAGTAGGGCTTGCTTAAAAAAAAGTGGCAATCTCTTTTCATTGGAATTTTGAACCATTTATATTTAGTGTCATTTAATCAAATGTTAGTTTAATTCTATCATCTTGATACTTGTTTTCTATTTGTCACATCTGTTCTTTAATAAATTTCCTCCTTTTCCTCTTTTCTTCCGGATGATCTCATTTCTTCAACTATTGGTTTATTAGATATCCTTCTTATTTTTTTGCATGCTTTTGTTCTAAGATTTACAATATACATCTTCATCACAGCTTACCTCCTACTAATATTATACCTCTTCACATAGGGCATAAATGTCTATTTCCTCTTCTGCCTCTTATGCCACCATTATCATATGTCTTATATGTTCAATTTTGTAATTCCCACAATTCATTGTTATTGCATCATATTACTTTTTAAAGAGAATTAAAGTGAGAAAAACATATTTCATTTCTACCCATGTGGCTTCCATTTCTAACACATTTCATTCATTTGCATATATATCCAAAGTTCTTTCTGATAAAGAACTTTCTTTTACATTTTTTGCAATATAGGTCTCCAAGTTATAAAGTCTTTTAGCTTTTGTTGGTCTGAGAAAAGCCTTTATTTTAGAAAGTATTTTTTGTTTGTTTGTTTTATTCCAGGAATTGAACCCAGGGATGCTTAACCAGTGAGTAACTTGTCTAGCCTTTTTTTTTGGGGGGGGGGACCAGAGATTGAACTCAGGGGTACTCAACCACATCCCCAGCCCTATTTTATATTTTATTTAGAGACAGGGTCTCAATAAATTGCTTAGTACCTCACCATTGCTGAGACTGGTTTTGAACTCATGATCCTCTTGCCTCAACCTCTTGAGCTGCTGGGATTACAGGAGTGTGCCACTGCACCCAGTTACATGGCCAGACATTTTTTATTTTTTATTTTGAGACATGGTCTCGCTAAGTTGTTTACAGCATCTCTAAGTTTCTGAGGCTGGCTTTGAACTTGTGATCCTCCTGCCTCAGCCTCTTGAGTCATTAGGATTACAGACTTGCACCACCATACCCATCTAAAAAGATATTTTTACTCAGTATAATTCTAGGTTAATAGGTGTTTTCCCCACTTCAGTGTCTTAATGATTCTTTCATTATATTCTGGTTTGCATGGATTTTCAAGAGAAATCTGCTATAATTCTTATCTTTGTTCCACTCTAAATAATGTGTTTTTTCTTCTCTATCTCCTTTTGGGATTTCCTGTTTATTACTCATTTTTAGCAATTTAATAACATTGTGTCTTGTTATGGTTTTTAAAAATTAGATATTTATGGTTATACACAGTAGTTGGATTCATCCTGACAAACTCAGACGTGCATAGGAATCAATTTCAGTTCATGATCTTCCTTTACCCTTTCCTCCTTCCCACTTCTCCCTCCTGTACTCTACTAGATTTTTTTTTGCACTTCTATTAATTTGTATTTGATTGGTTATAAAGCACTCAAAAACCTTCACACCAAAACAACAAATAATCCAATCAATAAATGGGCCAAGGAGCTGAAAAGACACTTCTCGGAAGAGTATACACAATCAATCAACAAACATGAAAAAATATTCAACACCTCTAGCAATAAGAGAAAAGCATATCAAAACTACTCTAAGATTTCATCTCACTCCAGTCAATGGCAGCTATTAAGATTACAAGCAACAATAAGTGTTGGCGAGGATGTGGGGAAAAAGATACACTCATACACTGCTGGTGGGACTGCTAATTGGTGCAGCCAATATGGAAAGCAGTATGGAAATGCCTTGGAAAACTGGGAATGGAACCACCATTTGACCCAGTTATCCCACTCCTCAGTTTATGCCCAAAGGACTTAAAAACAACATACTACAGGGACACAGCCATTATCAATGTTTGTAGCAGCAGAATTCACAATAGCCAAACTATGGAACCAACCTTAGATGCCTTTCAGTAAATGAATGGATAGGGAAACTTTGGTATATATACACAATGGAACATTACTCGTCATTAAAAGAGAATAAAATCATGGCATTTGCAGGTAAATGGATGAAGTTGGAGAATATAATGCTAAGTGAAGCAAACCAATCCCCAAAAAACAGAGGCTGAATGTTTTCTTTGATGTGAGGATGCAGAGAAGTAATGGAGATTTGCAGGGTGGGGAGCATGGGAGAAATGGAGGAACTTTAAATAGGCCAAAGGGGAGGGAGGGGAAAGGACAGGGAAAGGGGATAGGAATGATGGTGGAATAAGTTAGACATCATTACCCTAAGTACATATATAAGACATGAATGGTGTGAAAATACTTTGTGTACAACCAGTGTCTTGAAAAATTATCTTTGTATGTGTAATATGAAATGAATTGCAGTCTGTCATCATGTATAACTAATCAGAATAAATAAATAAGAAATTATGATATTTATGCACAATGTAGTTTTACTCAGCCATAAAGAAGAATGAAATTATAACATTTAATGGTAAATGGATAGAAATGGAGAACATCATGCTAAGTGAAATAAGCCAATCTCAGAAATTTAAAAGTCAAATATTTTCTCTCACATATGGAAGATGGAGTAAAATAAAGGAAAGGAGGAGGGAAGCATAGTATATCATAACAATATAGAAAAGAAGGAGGATATTAGAAGGCAGAGTGGAGGAATGGGAAAGGGGAAGCAATGCAAAATTAATTCTTAAAAAATCGTGTTATGTGTACACATAATATATCCAGGGAATTTCACCTTTATGTTTTAGTAAAAGAACCAATCAAAAATAAGTAAGTAGATGAGTGAAAGGAAGTCTAGCAGAGTAGAGAACGGAGAACAGGGAAGGAGAGAGAGAACAGGAAGGAAAAGAGTGATCATGAACTGAAATCAAATTCCATGCATGTATGATTTTGTTGAGATAAACTCAGCAAAATACTTAGATATACTAAGTATAACTATAATACTTTAATTAAAAAATGGAGGCAGTTCTTCGGCTTCTACTGGCCAGAGATGCTCAAGTATAACAAGTTTCCCGAAGGAGACGTCTGTATCGCTATGACCCCGCCCAATGCCACCGAAGCCTCCAAGCCTCAAGGTACAACTGTGTGTCCTCCATGTGACAATGAGTTGAAATCTGAGGCCATCATTGAACATCTCTGTGCAAGCAAGTTTGCACTGAGGATGAAAATCAAAGAAGTGAAAAAAGAAAATGGTGACAAAAAGATTATCCCCAAGAAGAAGAAGCCCCTGAAGTTGGGGCCCATCAAGAAGAAGGAGCTGAAGAAGCTGGTATTGTTCCTGAAGAATGGGGCAGACTGTCCCTGCCACCAGCTGGACAACCTCAGCCACCACTTTCTCATCATGGGCCGCAAAGTGAAGAACCAGTACTTGCTGACGGCCATTCACAAGTGGGACAAGAAAAACAAAGAGTTCAAAAACTTCATGAAGAAAATGAAAAACCATGAATGCCCCACTTTTCAGTAGGTCTTTAAGTGATTTTTCACGGGGTGGGTGGGGGAGGGAGCCGTGGGTGGGGGTGAGGGGCGGGGGAAGAGCGGACGACCCTGGAACCCGGTGGTTCCCACACACTGCTCCTGTCGGTAGTGGACGTTTCCACCCAGCTGGCTCTGTTCTTGCAGATTCCCACTCCCTTCCCTTCGTAGCCACACTCCAGACCCCAGTATAGCCACGTCCAGGTAAGGAAAGGGCCATTTAGATTAGGAAGGCTTTTAAGATCTGCAGCGCCGAATAGCAGCCACTGTGCTTCACCCAGAGACAGAGTCACCAAAAATAGAAAATATTTTTTTGCCAGTTAAAAAGAGAGAGAGAGAGAGAGAGAGAGAGAGAGAGAGAGAGAGAGAGAGAGATTGGGCAAAAAGTGAGAGAGAGCATCTTTCCTAGTGTTGTTATAAATTGCTTTTGGATCTGCCAGCGAATCTGTGCCTCTGGAACTAGGAAATTCTGCTGGTAAATTGCATTGCTTTTGGTTCCAGATGACTTCTCTGTCTGCTTCAGATAGAAACACATACATCGCACTTGTTGTTTAAGATAAATTTTGAAAGTAATATGAAAAGCAGTAGGTAATATTGAAAACAATGTTACTACAAGAGGGGTCATTGCCTGCTCTGCCCTCAGTTCTCTCATGGGATCCTCTTTTGATATGAATTGGCCAGTCTCAGATGCCCTGTGTGTGGTGGCTCACGTCGGCCTTGTATATGACCTCACTTCCACACACGTGTGGGGCTGCACACGTGCCCTCTTTCATGTAAGGAAGAGGAACACAGTGGGCATGAGAGAGATGAGGATTTTCAGGCATGGTTAGTTGTTTCCAAAAAACATAAAGAAAAAAAGAAAATTTTTTGAATGCTTCAGCAAATAACTAGTCAGGATAAATGGTGAAATTGGGTGAAGAGCTTCATATTCTAATTTCACATGTTCATTTCACATTTTAAAAGACTAGAAAGGACAACAAAAAACATACCGACTTTTCAAAGTTTAAAAAAGTTTACATTGAGCATTTGAAAGGTGAATCAGGACCAAGGTCTTCTGATCCATATGAGAAGCTCTTTCACTGGGCCTTTTCAGGTGGAGGTGGATTTGAGGTCCTCCTTCCTGAGTTCTCAGATGCCCTGGGGCTAACACAACACTGATGAAATTCCTAGCACTTCCCATCCTATGCTCTCCTGTGAAGGAACTGATTCCTTTAAACTTGGCTTCCTATAGATCAAAGAAATTCTGAATATCCTGCCTGTCTGACCCCTCCACTTTTTACTTTTGTATTTCCCCCACCCCATTTCTTTTGAGGGAAAGTTGACATTAATGTCCTCATTGAAGAAGAAAGTTTCAAAGGCAAACCATCTCTGCAGTTTTTTCCTAAGTGCCAGGAGATGTTCCTCAAAGCCGTTATGCCTAATAAGTGATGTAAATAAAACAGTTCTCTTAAACCACTTTCCTTTTTTTGTCCAATGTAAAGCAAATAATTCTAAAACAAACAAACAAAACAACACATTCATTTACTCTGCCAAAGCCTAATTCTTGATTCCCTATCACATCTCAAGGACCTTAGTGGTTGTCCCTCTGCACAAACATTCATACCCAATCCGAATATAGTAGTGAAACTGTCCAGTGTCAATCACTGAAGTGGCCCTGAGCTGACACAGAAGCAGTGGAAGATTCTGTTAATTACGAAAAACTCCAGTCTGAAAATCAGCATGGAGACTCAGTTACCTACCTGAGAGTTATCCTGATGTAATTAACCTCTCACAATTAGCAATCCCATCATTTTAACACTTTTTTTTTTCTCTCTGATTGTTAAAGTATTGGGGAATTTAAATGATTTGCCTGTAATTTTGGATGGTTTATAAATGTGTGTATATATATATATATATATATATATATATATATATATATATATTAGTAATTAGAAATATCATAGTTTTCTTTGTCCAACTGATATTCAGAGCAATTTCATGAGTGCATGGAGTTGGGCCTTCGTTTTGGTGGATTAAGTCAAGAGCTCAGTTATCGTTATGTATCTAATGCACATTTTGACAAAGTCTGTCATAAATCAGGGCCCTTTACAGAGGGATTTTTCTGGGGTACCAGCCATTACCACTGAAAGAGTAAGGAACAGCAGGTGGCCATGCTGTACGACTCTTTAAACCGGAATTCTCAGGTAGGAAGCAACATTTCAGAAAGGGTTCAAAATAACTTGGCAATGTGAATGGTGGCTGCACACTTCACCCAGTTGCAGAGTTTCTGGCCTTTGGGTTTGACTGTGTACTTTGGTGAAGAATTTAGACACACACCAGCTTTGTCTCTACCACATCAGCAATTTCAGGACGAAATGGGTGATTATCCATGGGCCCAAAGCTGCATTATTACCAGCTGTGTTTTTTTTTTTTTTTTTAAACAAAGAACATAACAAAACCAATGTGCAGACTCATTGGCTTAGTCATTGGTTTCCAAAAGAGGAGGTCTATGTGTGATTTGATAGTTTTTGCTAGTGCGAAAGTTGGATTCGTGAAGCTTTAAAATAATCGTTCTGGAGAGAGTCCCACGAGGCCGTTGTCAGATCGCAGCTAAATCTTTGAAGAATATTAGTAGTTATCTTAGAAGATAGCATGGGAGCTGAGAATTCCAAGAACATTTTATTTTTAAGATATCCTGTGTAACACTTGGCTCTTGGTGTTGGTGGATTAGCACCAAGTTCTCCCCAGGGCAGAATCCAATCAGAGCTCTAGTTTTCATTTGGATCTGCAAATTACAGAAATCCCATTTCCCAAACCTAGAATCTGTTTTCCTCATCAGACTCCATGTAGCTAGTTGCTCTGTTGTAACTTCATAGATGTGTTGAGCTCAGTGGCCGAGCTGTTTTAGAAGTGCACCTTAGACAATTTCCCCCAGAATAATGTGCTGGCCGTTCTGACCTGTCTGTCATCAGAAGATAATGCAGGACATGGACGGAATTCCCATTTCCTTGAGTTCTTTTGTAGTCCTTCTCTCTTAGAGTCTAAATCTTTTACACAAGCTTTGAATACTGTGAAAATGTTTTACATTCCATTTCATTTGTGTTGTTTTTTTAAATGCATTTTACCAGATGTTTTGATGTTATCACTTATGTTAATAGTAATTCCCGTATGTGTTCATTTTATTTTCATGCTTTTCCTGCCATGTATTCACTTGACTAAAATCACTCAATTAATCAAAAAAAAAAATGGAACAAACATGGACAGCTTTGTGAATAATAATAATGAAAAGCACTAATAATTTTGCAAATAATTTATTTAAAAATGATAGTTAGCTGAGTTCATTTTTGCAAAGAGATCAAGCAGGTGTATAGAATGTTCATTGGATTGGAGGACAATATGGAAGAGTCTACTTTATTACAAAAAAAAATTGCATGATGAGGTAGACCTCAATTGGAATGGACAAAAGAATAATAATTCTACTTGGAGGCTTAAAAATGTCACAGAAAATCACCAGTAGAGAAATAGCAAAAGTCACAACTCCACAAGGATAAAGAACTGGAGAAGCAATAGTAGCAGAGGAGATATAATTGTTTAAGACAGTGAGTAGATGAGTAATAACTCTCAAACAGAACAGAGAAAGTTTCAACATACAGGCTTGCATTGGGGTGGGGAGTCAATTACTGTTAAGTTAATCATCCTGTAAAATCTTGGAAACGTTCAGCAATCACAACCTCTTGTAATAATGGGTGTGGTATGTGACTAATAGGAGTCATGTTTGAAATAACGATGCAGCTAAGATACTGTCTCTCAGTCCCAGATCCCTCTTCTACTCAAGTAGTTAAATGAGTACATCTATCTTCCTCACATGAGTGAGGGGTTTATCTCTGGAGATATTAAAAGCAATGATGGTCTAGACCAGAGATCTCAGAAATTGCTGAGAGCAAGATTGAAAAAGTGTAGTGAAACTATGTGATTAAGTGAATGCTTATATCCTGAACTGTGAAGCCCATGTGGTGTATTTCCCTACTCGGCTTCCAGCACATTTTGACAGCTGTGCTTATATCCTCTAGGCAAGAATCTAGAGAAGTCTTCTAATGGAAAAAAAAATCTACCTAACTAAAAAGGACCTACAGATATGGATATTGTGAAGGACTTCTCAATCAAAATGGCCAGGTCTCTGCCAAGTTATCCTAGAGCTAAGTCCACCTGTGCAAAAGCCAAGTTATCCTAGAGCTAAGTCCCACCATACACACAGAGCTTTTAGCCACCATTTCAGTACCTCACTCACAAATGTGAAGAATATTCTGGGATTACCAGATATTTGAGGAAAACTTCTAACCTGAAATACAAAGACCAAGATAAATACATTTATGAAGAAAACTCAGAGATAACTGAAAAAAAAATGCAGACAGCAAAACCAATTCCAAAGGTTCTCAAAAGACCAAGGAATGTGGCACCCATTTAAAAAAATTAAAAAGCATATCATTTTTAAAAGAAACATACAGAAAACAAAAAAGATCTCTTTGAAGTTAAAAAAATGAAAATGTAAAATTCATTAGAAGAACTAAAACTCAAAAACTGAGGAAATCTCTCCAAAACAAACAAACAAAAAAAAATGGTAGAGTTGGAAAGTAGAAGAAGAAAGTAAGAAAATTAGAGCATCAATCCAGGAGGTCAAACATTCAATAATAAACTTTTTAAGAAGACAGAACTGAGAAAATAGTTGGAAGGCAAATGTCAAATAAAAATATGCAAGCATATTTCCCAGAACTGACTGACATGACTAATTGCCATGGTTTGAGTTTGTCCCCAAAGGTTCTTGTGTCAGAAATTTGGTCCCCAGTAGGGTGATATTGAGAGGTGGTGTGAAACGTTGAAGAGGTGGGGCCTGGTGGGAAGTGGTCAGGTCATTGAGGATGCTGTCCTTGGAAGACATTGAGGTAGTTCTTATGGAATTCCAATTCCTCCAAGAGTCAATTGTTACAACCTAGCTGCAGTGGTACCCTTCTACAATCCCAGCAACTCAG